TCTCCATTTTGTCAATTGTCCGCGGAGGAAATTGAAACCGACGCAGCCAGCTATGATCTAATGAGGCGCACGCACACACACACACACACGCACACACACAGATGTGGTTTAGCTGCCAGCCTGTTAAGTCTGTTTGTGGGTAAAGAAAAACAATGCATAACAGAGGGATGACATAAGAACTGATAGAAAGAACTCCATCTTTGTGTAACTTCTTTAAGGGTTTTCCAACTGTACTGTACTGGATACTTCACTACAGATTCTCACCTGACTGACGGTTCACTGTTTACATTCCCTGCAGCAAATCACTTTCAAATACAGCTCCGAGTCCTGACTGTTTCAATGCGATGGTTAAAGGTTTGAGCTAAAAACGCCACTCGTTTCCTCCCAGCCCTAAAATACTCGCCGTACTGCATGAAACTCCTTGACGTAGCTGCTTGACCCGGCGTCGGCCACTGCCTCATTCCAAATTCAAATAAGAAGAAAATGAAGCGGATGTTTCTGATAACTAACCCTAACCTGCAGAAAACATTCTTTGTTTAAGGAGAACATGAAATAAATCACTTCAGATCACATTTTATATTCAAACTAATCCACCTCTAATTTACAGCCATATTCAATATGAATAGCGTTTTATCCATTTAACTTTTGATGGATTTTTCCATCAGCTTCACTCCAGTCATTCCCTGTCTGTTTAGTAAATAGTTCTTTTTTGTGTGTTCCCAGTTTTTCCTTACTTTTTGAACTTGGTGAAATATTTCCAGGAGTCTCAAACACAAATAAGCTGAGGGCCACTGCTGCCACTGCCGTTTCATCGGACACATCAGAGTTCAACTAAAACTAATTTTAGGATTTTAGGAAGTCCAGTCACAGAGCTGGATGATGCCTAGAGTTTGAGACCCCTGCCGTCCACAGTTGTTATTCCAGGGTGTAGACTTACATGAAGCACAGATCAACGTCAATTTCATACTTCTCATTCCAGATTGAATCCCTTTTTTCAGATACTGTTTCCCCAGATGGACTCAGGGGTGTTAGTGGGAAGAGGGCGGTTAACGATTAAAGCAGCGAATGCTAAATAAAACACAACCTCAGCAGCTTAGAAAATAAGCCAGTCAGATACCAGAGGATTCCAGGTAGAATGAAAGGCCGTGTGTCTGAAAGTGTGAAGCTCTTTGTAGGAAACATGCAAAAAAAAAAAATTTAAGACAGATATAACAAGACGTTATGTCACTGAAGACAGATCACATCTGTCAAATTAACACTTTCTAATACAATTCCACTTCAGGGTAAAGAGTCTCTCGTGCATTTCACCCTTTCCATGATGAACCGGTTCGACTTTTTCATCTGTTTTGCTCCGGCTGCAATTTAAATCCCATTAACCCCCTCGCCCTGTTCCATCTTTCCACTCTCCCTCTCCCTCCTTCTTCTCTTTCCAATCATTTTCTCTGGATAATTTCTTTGTCTCCACTTACAAACACACATCCACATTTGATGTTTTTTTTTTTGTTTGTTTTGTTTTTTGCCCCGCCGCCCAACTCCTGCTTTCACTACGCTATAAATCTTCCTCGGCGACAGCGTCAACTTGCCGACATGTTTTTCCTGTGACAGCAAATACCTCCTTCACAGGATACGGGCCGTGCAGGGAGAACACAGTCCATCTTTAACACCGCACACACACCACCTGTGTTTTTCTTGTGGGCCAACAATAATATGCACTAGAAACATGTGGCCACACAGAGATACACACACACACACACTGATGGTTTTACTGCCACATCTTAATTCACCATTGTTTTTGATTTACTAGGCTAATCTTTGAGCTACATTTAGCATGTACACATATGCACCAGGGTTGTTTGAGTTTCACAAAAGAAGTCAGGCTCAATAATAGAAGCAGCGTTGACCTCATCAGGAGACGCACCGTTAAAAACTAAAGGGAATGTAGCTAAATATATGGTATAAAACATCATAATGCAACACAACATACACTCTATACTATATGGTCAGAACATGTCTGGAATGTGTATCGCATTAAAGCACTGTACAGGAGAGATAAACCAGCAGACATCGATGCTAACTGAATGTTAGCTGAGGTACAGCTAAAAGAAAAAGCTAAACATTAGCTAGAACAGGCAAGGGCAAACTAAGGCCCGGGGGACGGATACGACCCGTTTAGCTTTTGAATCCGGCCCGCCAAACTTTTCAAAATGATATAATTTATTTATATTATCGTTATACTCCCTTTTCCCTGCAATATCCACTTTTCCTCAATAGATGGCGTAGAAAGTGATAAAAGCATTTTAGCCTCCCCCGTTCAAGATTAGGACCAATTGTGGTCCGCGAGTCAAAGTAGTTTGCCGACGCCTGAGCTAGAAGTATAGGTCAAACTAACCTAGGAACGAGGAGCTAACTTAAGGTAATGTAGCAAAGATAATGTGTGACTAAGTTATTCTAAGTTCAATAGCCACAAAAACTAACAAAAAAAAAATTATATTATCTTTTCTCACATTAGTGCAGTGGGGCTTCCAATGGAATATGGCACAAATATGGACATCAGTGTACCACTGCTGTGATGCTTGAATGATATCAAGCCTCCAGTCACTAGGTGGCAGCAACTCATACAGTGGTTTAAACAGATAGAAATATACATGTTATCAGGTTCTCAATAGTATTTGAATTCGCGGGGGTGTGGGTCAGGGGGTGTGTGTGTGTGAAAACATTTCTGTTCCCAAGGGGGGGCGTGACAGAAAATAATAGAGAACCACTGCATTAGTGCAAAAACACGGTAATTATTTCTTCAAATTGGAGTCATTTGTGCCACTGTGATTTACAATTAGCCTCAAATGTAATTATTACCTGGAGTGGAACAACTGTAATTCCCCAACAAGGTTCTAGTGCAGTGTTCTAACGGAGGTAGAACATCTGTTTTCCCAAGAGTGCAAGTGAAAGATCTGCTGACCAGCAGCCCCTCCCCTGACGCCGGCGTCTGGCACTTACACACCTGTCAAAGGTCATGTCCAACACGCTAATTAAACACTCAGAAACAGAAGAGTGTATGTGTGTGTGCGAGAGAGAGAGAGAGAGAGAGAGAGAGAGAGAGGCAGAGATTTAACAGCCTCCACAGTTCACAGCGTCAGATCTGATTTCATATCTTACTTATCGAGGGGGGAAAATGCAGCGTCGCTGTCCACTCACTTCACACTCACACATGAGACGATGCCTTACGTGTATTAAAGTATCATGTTTACAACATCACCGTAATGGATGTCGTATGACGATTGATGAACACTGAATAAATTCTTTAAGAAAACATTTTTTATGGACAATTTTTATTAAACTTTTAAGAAAACATTTTTTATGGACAATTTTTTCATTTACATTTTGGACAATTTCCAGAGTCAAAAAGTTTGACTGAACTGTGATCATTTCCATTTTGAAGGACAACTTTATTTACATTTTATTAGGCTAAGTGTGGGTGGTAATTATTTGTTTATGCTAGCCACCATGCTTACTTTATAGCATCGTCTTGGCTAACCTTTAGCTGTTTTGGTCAACATTTACACCTGTCATGTTCTAGTTATGTTTCCATGTCTTTGCTCAGTTTCTCTTGTTGTGTCTTTGTTTGTACCTCGGCTGCTGGTGCTGTTTGTGATGTTGAGGCAGAACAGAACTATTGTAAATGCTCATGCAGTGATCTTTGTCACTGCACAGTCCATTCAACCAGGCTCACAGTGCACGGTGCTAAGGGGAACCAGATGGACAGTCCCTCCTGGCAGCCCCAACCCCAGCAACGACAGACTCTGCAGCGTATAAGATGACACCAGAGGACGGCCAGGACACCTGTTGCCCCTTCCCCGACACAGAAACGCTGGCGCTCTTTCAGCCGTGAGGTCACCAGCTTGCCAAGTCCTAAACTGGCCCAGACACCTGCAACGATCGCAGTCCAAAATGATAACCTGAAACCACGCCCGCCCGCCCGTCCGTCCGTCCGTCCGTCCGTCCGACTGCCTGTCAGCCTTTCAAAAAGCTGGTTCTAAATTAGGAGCAGCCCCGACACATGTGAGGCTGTGAGCTCATTCTGAGGTCCTGGGTTGGGCGCTACTGCTGCGACACAGAGAGATTAACAAAGACTTGTATAGCTGATATTTCTTGCAACGTTTCTGCCATGTATTAAAAAAATAAGAGCAGTACAGTGAGGTCATGGTATTAAGTGAGGACAGGAGTCTACCCTCAGGACAATAACTCTGACCTGTCTTGAAAATGTCTGACAAGACCCTGATTAATATAATCACCGAGGACGTTCCTCATCAAACCCTGAAAACAAAAACAGAATCAGATCAAACATGTTTACATGTGGTTCTCTGCTTTGTTTAGATTTTTAATTCCCAAGATAATCTGACTGAGCTATCGTTAAAAAAAAAAAATCCATGGCTTCGACCTGGAAAGACTTCACACTTCACTTTAACAAGGCCGTCCAGATTCACCCTGTTCTTTGTGCATTTGTTTTTTTGGATTTATTTCCATGTGAAACAAAAAAAAAAGTCATTCATTATCTTCCCTGGAACTACTCCTAACTTTAGTATCCTGAACTGTGCTCAAACCAAAACAAACGGCGGCACTGACTGAGCCGCACTCTGTCATGCTTGCTCAAATAAACACACTCACACACACAGATGGACACAGCAAACATGAGGCTGGGCCGCTGGCTTTGGTCTCCTGCAGCCCCATACTTCTCCTCTGGTGTTTACACAAGCAAGATTTCATGAAACGTTTGCCTCATCAGTGCTCCTCTGAGCTGTGTACTCTACAGACCCCCGAAAAGATGGAGCCAAGATCACGGCCTGAGCTGTGTGACTCAGAGGTCACACCGGGGCAAACACAGTCTGCGCTGGCCTTTGGGAATGCAGGGGGGATTAATAGATGACAGATGACTGTCATTTCAATTAGTCAAACTTGAAAGGGCTCGTAGAGCAGCCTACGGCAGCAGTGCATGCTGGTCTTACCTTGTGTCTGGGTCCCGGTGAGGCCGACCGCCGTCCTCTCCTGTCCTCGTCTGATGATCCCTGTCCTTGTCTCTCCTTCTCCTGCTGCATCCTCTGCCCCACCTGCACCATGGCTTTACATTCCACACACGATCCAATCACAAGCCTCTTCCCGTTATCCACCAAGAGCGTGCCTGAGCTGCGAGGGGCGTACAGGAACACGGGCAGCCGGGCCATGGTCACGGCGCACATCCTACCCTGCCGCCGCTGCTCCTGCCTGCAGAAGAAGCACACGAACGCCTCGCAGCTGTACTGCCGGGCCCAGGGAGAGCTGGGCAGCTGAGGGCTGACCCCGTGTACGGTAGAGGTAGAGGGCGTGGAGACGCTCTGGCCGTTGCTCTCGTGCAGGGCCCACTGGGCATGCAGGTCGTGGTAGCACAGGTTACACGCCGACACCAGGCCCGTAGCATCCACAGGTTTGGCCCGAGGAGCAGGAGGGTGAACGGTGAGAAACGGGAAGAAAGGCTCCCTCTCCCCGCAGCGGCCCGGAGGGTTGACGTGCAGCTGGTGCTCCTCTCCAGCGAACAACTCCGATCCACAAAGGTAGCACACCGACATGGACGTCCCAGAGCGGGAAACCACACCCGGGTGGGAATGGCCCGGTTCTGACCCGTCACTGGTCACCGTGGCGTGGTACCTGACCAGGAAGGGGCTGACAGACGTGATGAGCTCCTCACTCAGGCTGAGTCTGTAGGCACTCCAGATCTCCTCCAGGAGGAGATGACAGTGGGGACAGCAGTTTACACGACCGTTGCTCAGCTCCTGGGCGTTGGGTGGACGGGGCAACAAGTTGATGAAAGGAAAATACATCACACCGCGGGATTTGCCGACGCCGGCCTGTGCGTAGGCCACTTTGGTTTCTCCTCTGCACTCCTGACCGCACAGATAACAGGCTTCACGTGAGGCCTCTGGTCTCTGTGGCTGCTCCACCGCCTCTGGAGGTTTTTGTTCCCGGGGGACGAGTTGTGGAGTACGGCTGTTCTGATTAAGGGGGACAACGTAGAGACGCTGGAGGACGGGGACGTCGGCGAGTTGAAAACTCTGCCACTGCTGCATGAGGGAACTGTGGCAGCTTCCACATACCACAGTGGTACCAGCCAAATTGATGGGCGCCGCACCTCGAGGTGGGCTGTGGAGCCACAGGAAGGGGAAGAAGGGCTCACCTTGTGCCTTCTCCTGTTTCTGGACGCTGACTGTGAAACACTCATGGTGTCTGAGACCACTGCCACAGATGTAGCACACACACTCCTCTGACCTGGGATCAACACTGACATGTCTCTTTGCTGGGCCGTACAGGCCTCTGCTGTCATCATCCACACCGTCACTGGTGATGTTGATCTCATCTTCCTCAGAGTCAGAGTGCTCGTCCGTGGGAACTGTTGTGGAGCTCTTAGCAGCAGCAGCAGCAGCAGCAGCAGCAGCAGTCTGGCTGATGTTGACTCCTCCTGCTCCTCTGCACATCAGTGATAGATGCCGGCTCGGAGCACAGCTGCTGTCGGCCACACGCTGAATCTGACGCGGAATCTCCGCATGTCTGACATTCCCTTCCTCCAACCAGCGCCTGTTGCGCATAATCACACCGTTGTCCTGTACAGGTGTTTCAGGGAGAGCAGCGTCATAGCACCGCGGAGGGAACCTCTCCTGGCCCTTTGCCAGAGACTCTGAAGATTGACAAATATTGTTGTTCTGGATTTTCCCCCCGCGCCTCGCCGGGTAAACACTTTCCGATTTGGGCGATCTCTGCGCCCCATAAACGCCCACCTGGTACCGCACGGCCCGCTGAGAATCCGGGCTGTTTTTAACACTGATGACACTGTTTTTCCTGACACTCTCTCTCGGCGACTTGCCAGCTGCTGCTGATCCCCCTGATCCCCTCACACACTTATCTTTACTGACCACGTCCAGCTCCTGGTCTGACATGTTCTCGTTTTCAGAGAAAGAGGAGAAATCCGACTCTGCGCCCCCGTCGTAGTTCTGGCCGCCGGAACCGAGTCTCCTCTCCAGGTCGTAGGAAATGTTCCACTCCTGCGTGACCCGCCGAGAGTCGTACTGGTACGGCCGTTTCAGCCAGTACATGCGCTTCTCAATGGGCGTCCTGCTCCGCTCGAAGGAGTTCCATTGCTCCGTCAGGAAGCAGTGGCACACGGCGCACACCAGCGCGTGTCCATCCGGGCTCACTTCACACGCACCCGGGGCTGGCTCCTGGTTCTGTAGGAAGGGGAAAAACGGAACCTTGTCCTTGTGATATGTCACTTGCAGCCTCAGTTCCTTGCCGGCTGTGACTCCGCTCCCACATATGAAACAGTGAACGAGTCCCACCAATCCGTTCCGATCGCGACTGGGAATAGTGCCGGGGAACGGGCTCTCCTCGCCGGGCATAACTGCAGCCATGAGTCGGTGCTTCCGAGATAAAAGAGCCAGGTCCTTATCACGGGGGGAGTGCATTGCGTTTTCCCAGTAGCGGCGTCGCTACATCGAAGCCATGCTGTTGCTCTGACGTGCAGAGTCAGGAACCATGCAGTTCAAACTTTTCAGTCCAAGTCAATGATAAGAGATCCCGGAGTCCATGGAGGCAGAGGCGGACTCCCACTCAGAAACATCCACAGAACACTGCGTGAATCCCCGTTAGTTGGAGTCGGCTGCGCGCATGTTTCCGCTGGAAATCCATGTGACAACAGAAGTTTGGAATCACGGCTCCGCTCTCACTGCAGTAGCGAACTTTCCTGCCTGCGCTCGGCAAACTTTTGGCTGCCAAACGCGCTCCCACTGTACACACACTCACACACACACACTCACACACACACACACAGCAGCAGCAGCAACAGAAGCGCCATCCACGCTTTCGTGGGACGCGTTTCGACACCCTCAAAAGGAAACCCCCACCTCCTCACCCCCTCACCCCCACAACACCCCCCAGCCCTCCCCCACCCCCC